GAGTCAAATCTTACTTTCTGGCTTTCTTCAGCTCACTGTTTAGTACAACTCTATTATTCTCTATTATGTTCATCAATAGTCAAAATGGTTTATGCATTATAATCCCTTTTCTAAGTAAAATTCCCTGATAATGAACTTCAAGTGACATGCACATGATTTTGTTGTAGATAATTTGTTAAAAAGAATATACATTATTACACATCAGATTTCTAGTCTATGGAAATTAATACCTTGAATCTGGGTGGCACATTATGGTTTAAAAATCACTTCCATATATTTTATGCCATTTAATCCTAGAGGTGAAAACAGATGATACTTAACATCTATGAAATATAGATATGTAAAAGTAAGTGTATTAAATTAGAATTCTTAGATATTTTGCCTTGTTTTATTGTGATGGGTAGTTTGAAAGTTGAGATGGTTTCATCATTCAGGTGGAACATCAAAGTTTACAAAGTACTTCTTTATGGCTAAAAAAGGCTAAGTGTGCTGGTTAGGTAAAATATGACATTCATTTAAATTCATTCAACTTCATTAGTGGTAGCATTTATTATGTATGTTCATTGCTATGTGGAACTTATTTTAATCAGATTAGAAATTCATTAGTTCTTTAGGTCACATTAAGAGATACAGAGGTATACTTTTGCTAATAATAAAACTTTCCACTTGTTGAGTATTTTTGCTTTTCAAAGCATTGGAAGTGTTCATGTGAGTTCTAGTCAGCATACCATCTGTATAAGGCAGTTCTATAACTCTGAATTGTAGCTGAAACACGTTTAACTAATATTATTTGACAGAAGGGGACACTGAGGCCACAGCAAGCGTCTGGATCATGTGGTTAATTTAATGGTAAGACTGATACACAGAACTTGGGTTCTGGGTTAGACAGACCTGGATTAAAATTCCAGCTTGACCAATTATACCTCTCACAAGTAGCTTGACCAATTATACCTCTTACAAGTTACTTATTTTCTCTGTGCCTTGGTTTCTTCATTTATAAAAAGGAAATAAGATTATTGTGAGGACTAAATGAAATAGCGTATGTAAGCAGGACCAGCTATGTAATTAGTGGGGCCTGATGCAAAATGAAAATGTGAGGCTCTTTGTTGAATGATTTTTAAGAATTACAAGCTGGTGACAGCAGAGCATTAAACCAAGTGTGGGGCACTTCCAAGTGCAGGACTTGGTGTAGCTGCACAATTCACACACCATGAAGCCAGGCCTGTGTGTAAGATACATGGTATTTATAGCATAAATACACTATATATAGTATAAATAGCATAGTAGGCACTCAATGTATGGCAACTGTTGTCTTTTCTTTTCCTACTTTCATTCAGACTTCTCTTCCCTGAATTAAAAAAATGTAGATTCACTGTAATCGGTTGTTTTTCACCTGTAGCATTCCAATAAGTGATTACTTTTTTAAAGTAAAATCTCCAAGCTTTAGTAGAAATTATTGTGCTTTATCATGCTGCACACAGTATGTTTATTTGTACTATGTTTATTTTTTATTTACTTATTTTTTAACATCTTTATTCGAGTATAATTGCTTTACAATGTTATGTTAGTTTCTGATGTATAACAAAGTGAATCAGCTATACGTATACATATATCCCCATATCCCCTCCCTCTTGCGTCTCCCTCCCACCCTCCTTATCCCACCCCTTTAGGTGGTCACAAAGCACAGAGTTGATCTCCCTGAGCTATGCAGCTGCTTCTCACTAGCTATCTGTTTTACATTTGGTAGTGTATATATATCAATGCTACTCTCTCACTTCATCCCAGCTTACCCTTCTGTACTATGTTTATGATGTCTCCTAGCACTTAAAAATTATGAATGACTTAGATTTTTTCCATATTGTACTTGACCAAATTTAACATTGTTTTTGTAGTAATCATTTAAGAAAACTCTGTTTTCTCTTAATGGCCCTTTTAATGCACCACTAGAAATGCCTTATGAAAATAGAGTAACTTGATTTATATGCCTGAAACCCATATTAGAATTTTCAGTTACCTCCTTGGTCTTTGCACTTCAATTGCTACTCTATAATTTTCGTGTGAAACAATACAGTTCTTAAATGTTTTAAATATTTTCCTCCTTTTTTTTCTTGTTAAATATGGAAAAAGTCTTGCTTTAAAGGGCACACACACATATTAGAGAGGTCTGAGTTTTCAAAAGAAAAATGAGTTAGGAAGTTAAAAAATACATAAAATATTTTTATTATGAGAGTGAATTACATAACCTCCTTCAGCCTCTTTCTGTTTGTTTGTTTGTTTTCTATCTATAGACTAGGGAGGTTGGACTGATATTCATTAAGTGCCCTCCAGTATTTTAATTCTTAAAATCTTGTATTTCTATTTCTTCTGTTTCCTATTTCTTTACTCTCAGTGCCAGGCTTACTTTGTGTGAGTGTAGAATTGTATCGTTTGACTCTCTCAAAAACTTTTTGAATGAGGTTGGTAGGTGGTAATGTTCTCATTTTATAAGGAGAAAAATAGAACCTCAGGAAAGAGTTAATGACGTGTCCAGATTCACACACTTTAATAAAAGTTAACATGAAACTCAAACTCCAAATTCTGAGACCTATTCCTAGTATTCTCTTTCCTGAATGCTATAGAGCTAAACAAAGAAGTGGAGAGGTTAGAGAAAGATGAAAGAAAACAGTGTAGTAGTTGTGGTGTGCTGGAAAATGTTTAAGAGCTGGCTGGGGGAAGGGGAGGGCTCTGGTTTGCAGTGTTTGCTCATTTCCCTGGTGTAATTATCCCCACAATTTCAACCTATCAGTGTGGTGTTGCTGAAGGTAGAGTTGGGAAGATATGCACACAGTAATGAGCCAGGATGAGTATGCTTCAGCATGCCACTGGTAGTGGATAAATATTACACTGAATCATGAAAAAGGTTTTGAGAAACTGTCTCCAGATTTATAACTCAGGGGAGGGGGGAGCATCATTTGGGGACTAGTACTATTGGTTTAAATGCTCCTTAGGCTTTCTCATGGTCACTCCAAAGTTTTCATTTCAGCATTCCAAACCATTTCAGCCTGAAACCAAGGCAGAAAAAAACAGGAATTCAAAAGGAATTACACTTAAGTACTTTCCTTAATATAACCATTGAATGTTTAAGTTTTTATCTCTGAGTTTGAAAGACACCTGATGTTGTTAAGAGTTACAAATCAAAACACTTACAATGACTATAAATACATTCTTTGAAAGAATCATGATATTTTAAGTTTGATAAGCATGTAATGTAAACTAAAACTTAGTAATCCTCTCATTAAGTCAAGCTATATAATTTATGTATTTTTGGAGAAATAATGTAAAAAAGGCCTTTAAATTTAGAGTGTTCAGAATAACTGTATGCTAATACGAACCCTACTATTCAAAGTAGGGGGAACAGAGGGCAGTGATCTCAGTGGATTTTAAATGTGCTGATTCTGGGAGAAAAAAAATTTGTAATAACATCTTATTAATTATTCCTGTTAACAGGAATCATTAAATCAGAGAACTGGATTGAAGTTATGATATTTGTGGGGGAGAGGATATATGAACAATTTTTAACCTAAGATGCCTGTGGTAAAGCATAATTTAAAACTTTATTAACTTTTTAGAATCTCTGGAGAATTAAAAAAACCTCACCTCATTACCTGATTAAAGACACCTGTCTGATTTATTTTACCTTAAATCCAACATTTGGCCTAGATCAAGGCAGAATAGGAAGAAGATTATCTTAAAAAACCCTATCTCAGGGCTTCCCTGGTGGCACAGTGGTTGAGTCCGCCTGCCGATGCAGGGGACACGGGTTCATGCCCCGGTCCGGGAGCCGCGGAGCGGCTGGGCCCGTGAGCCATGGCCACTGAGCCTGCACGTCCGGAGCCTGTGCTCCTCAACGGGAGAGGCCACAACAGTGAGAGGCCCGCGTACCGTAAAAACAAACAAACAAACAAACAAAAAAACCTATCTCAGCTTCAAGAAGGGTATTAAGAAACACAGGAGATGTCAGGAGCAGCTGGGATCCAAATAATAAATGACTCAACAGCATAAAGGAAAAAACTGGAGAATGAAGATAATCTTGTCTGGTATGTTTAGGAAATAAGGATGGTGATACGTGAAGCTTTGAATAAGCAATAATAAAGTGAAACCTTTATAAACCGTATTAAGGGGTTAGAGAAATCAGTGGGAGCTTTGCCTAATTATCTGAAGAATGAAATAAGAGAAATTAATTTTAATTAAATTAATTAAATTTAATTAAATTCTCTTACTAATTAATAAGAGAAATTAATTTTCTGAGAGTATTAATATCTTGATGTCTTACTTTCTAACCTTAATATGACACAACAGATGAGATCTTATTCAGTGTTCTGGCCTTAAGAAAGAAAAGCAGAGTCTACAATGGAAAACCAGATCCTAATTTAAATAGGTCAGAGGAACAGCAATTTTTTTTTACTACATGGCACTTATCAATACCTTTTGGAGCATTTCATAAACGTTTCCTTCCTAACTGCTCTTTATCATTTTGTTCATAGCAAAGCTTTATCTCTGTATTACTCAAAAATCAGAAGATAAAACTTTTAAAAAATGTTCCCACAAATTGAGGGGAATATACAGTTTAGTTTTTACACTGTAAATTTCACCAAAGGCCTTGGTAAATATACCTAATCCATTGAAGCTCTTTGTAACATTCAAAAGCTGTGCTGCAGAGCTAAATTGGAGTTGGGAGTGGGCAGAAGGAGGTGCAGGGTAAACCAGAAAAAACTATTCCAATTCATCAAGTTTTCTTTATGTGAAATGGGCATTTTACCAACCATCAATTACTATATGTTGTAGTTCTTAACCAATGAAAATAATGATAAAATCCCTAAAAAGAGTGCTCTACTCCATTCAACATGGTGACAGCATTAATGTGTCCCAAACTACATTAATGAGGGAAGGCAAACCACGGATTTATGGGACTTTCCCCAAATATTTCCTGAAAATTTATCAATTATAAAAACTCTACTCACCTGCTCTGGATAGCCATCCATACTCCTTTGCCCTTTAGTTTGAATTAAGCACCGTCCAGGCTGAGGTCCCCGGGTGGCCTGTGAAGAGGGGATCTGAATAGGCAATGGTGACTGAAATTGCTGGATGGTCACTTTGTTTATGTTTCCCTCATATGGCTGCTGCTCCCGGCTACGATGTTGAAGGCTCTGGGACCCCATCAAGGTCTGGATGTGGCTGCCTGCCTGTGGAGGAGATAATCTGTCAGAAGATTTGTGGTGTTGAAAGGATGTGATTAAAGTAGAAAAAAAAAGTACAGAATACCTCTCCAGTAAGTAAAGTGGCATCATTTGGGCTTTCAGCCATGGCTAGGAAGGATAATGAAAAAACAGTAAGGGTCTGCCTGCTGTGGTTTGTGAAAATGCTAATATTGGAGCAAGGTCACGTTAAAAACACTTGTTGTCATCTGATGGCTTGCCAAAGCTTATTTTAGCCCCCATTTTAAGGAAACAAAGTTCAGTTTGGAAAATCTCAAGAAGAAAAAAAGTCACAACTTAAAAAATTAAGTGGAGTTCTATCTGGCATTTCATTTAGAATAATAGCAGGGAGAGAGATGTAATATATGAAACATCAGGGAGAAAATTATAGAAACTACTTTCTAATTCTGCAGCAAAAGAATTGAATTGCATATTTGCCTTTATGCCACACACATGTATAGTAAGTTTGTTCAGGTGAGTATAATCAATATTTATTAATTTTCTGCAATATTAAATCAAGAGTATGGTTTTTGCAATCTTTAAGTTCCATTAAAAATTAATCATGTGATAAATTCCTGCGAATATCTGTAGCCTGTAGAGGCACTAGATATGGAAAGATCTTTAAAGTGAACTCTGCATGCAGATCATCTTCACATGAGCTTTCAGAGAGACTCATCAGTACCTCATTTAAAACAACAGTGATCATTTATCAGCCCTTGAGGGTGGTTGCTAGAGGAGAATAGGCATGCTTACTTTGGTCTCCCATCTTTAAATGACTGGTGCCTAATCCTGTTTCTCGTTCATTCCGATTTTCTTACCTTCATTCTAGCATGGGCTCCTTGAGTCATTCTACCTGATATCTTTTCTGTCAAGCAAGCAGTTCTGTTTGTGAGCTGATAACCTAGAACATGCCATTTATTTAGCCATGCCTTGCAGCTTGTGGGGCTCTTAATTCCCCGACCAGGGATCAAACCTGTGCCCCCCCCAGTGGAATGGCGGAGTCCTAAACACTGGACTGCCAGGGAAGTCCCCCTAGAACGTTCCTTTTAAAATTAAGTATGGTTTAACATGGAGGTCTAACATGGGAAGTGAATGCTTATCTTTAATACTTTTAAACCTACGTTTTAATGCTGTGCTTGGTATTTCACCCATTATTATGGAAGGATCTGAGGAATTACTTCCTGAATTCATTGTCTTTCTTTTGACCTTTTAAGGGTAGGCAATTTGGAATTTAAAAGTAAATTTCACCTTAGAATTCATTAGTTAGGAAAGTTTGTGAATTTTCCTGACTAATCAAGATTTTTAATTACTATGAAAAAGTCAGCTTGGAGATATAAAGGAAAAATTATTAAACAAGTATTCAAGGAAAAGATGAATTTTAATTATTTTAAAGTTCTTAAAGAAGAGCAACATAAGAGGTAGGAGATGACAGTGATCATTCAGAATCATTTGGAGAGGGAAGGCATATTGTTTGATTCCAAACAAGTAATTTCAGTGAAGAAAATATTCAAAATTATTATTTAGCAATATGCAAGGCAAAGAAAAAAATCATTTGATTATATTTTAGATATCCAACTGATTGTCTTATCATGTACAACTTTTTACATTCAAAAACAGTAAAGATATTTCAGTCATGAGAAACTGGAGGAAAAGATGCAAAAAAAAGTTTCAGGCTGTAACAGCACAATAACAAAACAATTATCAATCTAATACTGTCTAATGCAACCAGAGATCAGAAAATTATGACATCATAAACACAACTAAGATAACCTCATAAAGGGCAAATGTGTATTTCTCTAATGTATCTATTTCCTTCTCAGAAATCTAAATGAAAGATGTCACAACTTTCTCAGCCATTCTAGAAGACTGAACACCCTTCTGGTCGAGTTTTTCCTTGTTGCAAATTCAATTCTCTCCTACCTCCTTGGAATTTCATGTTCTCTTGTTTGGTAGGCAAGGAAAGCCATGATACACCCAGTATCACATTTGGGGCTGCTGTACTCTGAATGAAGTCACTGACCTGTTATTAGTTAGAGAAAACGATTTCCTGTAGTATTTAGTTAGAGAAAACGATTTCCTGGAGTAAGAGGAGCTGGGGGTGTAGGCGGACTAAGGCTGACTGGCTTGGCTACTGAACAAGCAATTGATTTTACATTTATATCTGCTTCTCACATCCACTGGTATAATACTCATGGGTCTTCAGTTAGTCCTTGAGCCAATGGAAAAGAGGAAGACTGGTTGTTTAATTGAAAGTGACAGACAAGCGAAGAATTTTTACACCCAGAAAAACTTAGAGAACTCCAGAATATAGTTTTAGTCCCACAATGCATAATCCATTAGAAAGTCAATAACGACTGCTTAATAATAATTTCATTGATTAGAATATTCTGGTAATGGTCTATCTAAGGGTAAAAAACCATAGATATTATAGAACTATAATAGCCTTTAGACTTATTTTTATGGTTTATTTTTTCCTTCTGATGGGACAGTTTAAACTTTAATTATGCTTTGATTTGAAACTCTTTGAGGGCAAGCACTACATCTTACTTACCGGCACAGTAACTGGCACTTAAAAAACAATGGCTACTATTCAAATACTAGGTGCTAGATAATGTACTAAAACTTACCTTATACATATTGCCTCCTTTAATCCTTACAGTAGCATTAAGGGATAATTATTATTAGTTATTATTACTTAATTTTACTGAGGAGGAAACTAAGGCTTGGAGAGGTTAAGTAACTTTCCCCAGTAATTTGCACAACTTGTAAACTGGCTGCACTGGGATTTGAACCAAGGCTGTCTGGCAATCAGAGTTCATGCTCTTAAACACAAAATTACATTGCAACCACCATTCCCCAGAATTGTCTCTCTTCCTACAATAGTTGAACTATGAAATGAAAAGAAACCACAGAAAGGAACAGAAAGATCTGATTGTTAAGGAAGGATATATTAAATTTCTTTAGCAGCTCTTCAATTTGCCAAAGGGCCATTCTTACTTATTGAATTAGGTCTATTATCTATTTTAGATCCTACATATTTGACTTAGAACTTTATACTTGAGCAATTAGGAGTATACTCTGTGTATTTAGTAATCTTTCCATGATTATGAAATAATGACACTCATGTTCACAGATGGCTTGGCAAAGCATAAAGTGGGCATGGAAGGAACATTCTGTAAAATGATTCTGTTCACATCAGTAGCAGTTTTTTCACTCTTTATTGGGGCTACCGGGTGCAATAAATGAGGATGGGGAATGACAGCTACAGAAAGCAAAGAATTAACACTAAATTCTTTGTGAAGGTAAGCAAATATAAATGACACAAGACATCTAAAGGGACAATTATGGTGTGGAGGGACTGTAAAGAGTAAGTTATTTTGACTGGCACAGAGGCTTAAGAAAGGTAATAAGGATGCTCATGATGAAGTACAAAGGACTGATGAAAATGTAGGAAATATCAAGACTGGATTCGTTCAGATAGAGGGTTAGCTATGAGAACACTGACTCATACTGAAGGAGAATTTGAACATGAAGGTTTCTATAAAGGCTGAGGTACACATTTTGAATGATAAAAAGAAATAGAGATTTGACATTTGTTTTGAACTTTCAATGGAAGGTTGGACAAAATAACATGTATTTGAGAATAGTGATGGAATATGACGTTTTCAAGTTGACCCAAAACCATACTGTCAAGGTTTATGGGGAAAACTTCAATATCCATAGGGCCCAAGGAAATATTTATGTCAAAGCCACAGAAAAGAAATGTGATTTGTTACCAAATGGCACTGTTCATACGCAATTCATCTCACAGCTCATCAGGCTTATTATGTGGAAATTTGAAGTGTTTGGGAGGTTTTGTATGGTATAAAATAAATGACTTTTTCACTACAGCAAAGTTTTGGTTCACACTATTTTCTTAGAAAAGAGTGTTAGACTGAGAAGTTTATTACTCAATTTGGTTATCAGTTTTACTACCCATCTTCGCTCTTGGACCACTTGTGGTGCTCCCCAAAATCAAGCACAACCTCAAAGGATGACAGTTTATGCCACTGAGAATATTCAAATGGGTACAACTCATTCTCTAAAATTAAGTTCAAAAGAGTTCTAAAGATGTTTGGGGTCAGCGTCAACAATACAGAATTACATACAAAGGATAATTAAGTAACTGATTTCAAGGAAACATCAGCACTCATTTAAATGAGTCAGTTTCAGTAATTTTGTAAAACAACAACAAAACAGTCCTATCACTTTCTATCTGCACCATGTACTCCTTCCTTTGTTTTTTTTAACATGTACTTTAGGTTTTAGAAATCCAGTCAGTAGGATTTCTGCTTCTGGTATATGGAATAGATATACTGTTCCCTATTCCCTCTATTAAGAACAACAAAAACCTCTGGACATTGTACATAAACAAATATAGGAAAACTCTGGGAAGTAGACTGAAGAAGCTAAGGACCAAATAACAAGATGGTGGTAAATTTCTCAGGTTTTATTTTTGTGTCATATATCCCAGACTAGGAGTTGAAAAAGTGGGCATCCCCTAAAATGCCAGCCAGTGCAGACAACAAAAGCCCCAACAAAAGCCTACTCTCTCTAGCCAAAGAACCAGGAAAAAGGGGCATCCTAGCAAGACAGAAAACTTTTAGATTGCTCTACTACAGCCAAACAACATGGAAAGAACTGTGGTCCCATCCCAACAATGCCAGCAAAGGCCAAGTGGGAAGCTGATACTTCTACCCTTATAGGGATTTAACAAGGCACAACACTCCTGCTGGGGTGGTGGCAGAGAAGGCCAAGTAAGGTGTCACTGCATTCATCCCCACTGGCCAGTAGTAAGCCACTCCTCACCCAGTGGTGTTAATGGAGACCACATAAGGAGCATGAACTTACACTCTGAACCAGCAGTAATGAGACACTCCTCTACCTTCCCATTAGGGTGGTTAGAGAGGTCTTAGTAGAGAGTCAGGATTTCCTCCATCACCCAATTA